ACATCTGACAGAGGATTAATATCCAGAATATACAAAGGACTAAAATATAACAAAGTCAAGGAAACAAATTACCCAACTAAAAACGGGCTAGTGATCTAAACAGAGTTCTCAACAGAAGAAACCAAAATGGCTAGAAATACCCAAAAAAAAAAAAATGGTCATCCTTAGCAATTATGGAAAGGTAAACAAAAACAAAAAAAAGCTTTTTTAGGTTTTACCTCACCTCCACCCCAGTAAGAATTCTACCTCAGCCCAGTCAGAATGGCTAGAATCACCAAAACAACTGACAACTCATACTGTTAAGATTGTGGGAAAAGGGGACTCCTTACCCACTGTTGGTAAGAACGCAAATTGGTGGGGCAACTCTTGCAATCAATGAGAAGAATTTTCAAAAAAATTAAAAATATCTATTAATAAATCTATTGTGTGACCCAGCTATACTACTCCTTCACATATGCCCAAAGGACTCAACATCAAGCTAATTTCTCAGTATACCAAACCTAGTGAATCCTAGGACTCTTTGCTCCTTAACCTGAGAAGGAAAGTACAAGTCAGAAAATGCTGACACTTATCACTAGTTGGTGATATTAGGAAATTTTGCTGACTCTTCTCAGAGAATGAACACAGGACAGAGTAATAAAAGATATGCCCACTGATTTTCTCCCAGGGGTAAGAAAATGAGATGTTCGAACCTCTTTTCTGTGTGTTGATGTCCTTGAGGAGCCAAACCAATCAGGGAATGAACATACCATTCATCAATTTGTGTAATAAGCTTCAGAGGGATACAACTCCCAGGACACACCTGTAACTCTTATAGTCACCATGACTGAACACACATCTTTCCCAGAAGAAAGTATCCAGGTCCTTTCCTACATGGCAGGTGCTTTATCCCTTTCTTTGGGGAAGACCTTCTATCTTTCATAACCAATGTTCTTTGAGCAAGTAAGATTCGAAGGACTTGGCTCATGGTGAGTATGTGTTGCTAAGCCTAGATATTCCAGCAGATGCTGAAGGAAATGGAGAAGAGGTGGTTGGTAGGAAGAGTATTAGCTCTTCAGCATAGGTGAGGCAAAATCGTGTTATCCCGTGTAGAGGTTGCACTTATGAGGCATTTCTGGGAAAGCAGGTCACTAGTATATTTGTTTGAAGTTGATTTTCATAGTGACCGTTTACTTTGGAGCTAGAGATAGATAGATAGATAGATAGATAGATAGATAGATAGATAGATAGATAGATAGATAGATAGATTATTGTAGGTAGATTGCTGAGCACATTATGTGGGAATATTTTTGTAGTTGTCCCATGACCCTCTGATACAAGAATACTCCAGTGGACAAAGCAGTTTAGTGATTTAGCTATTACTATGAGTTGTTCATGGTAGAGCCTGGCCACTGCCAGAGCTGAACATAACTTATAATGAAGTTGCTCTCTTCTAGATATTTTTAATATTATTATTTCAACCAAGAGCTCCAGAACTTCCATTTTCTCTCAGGCTAGAATAAGAGTCTATCACTTTTCTTTCACTCTCACTTGGAACTATCTCAGGCTTCTCCTGATAGAGCAGCCTCTCTTATAGCCCCAGTCTCCTTGTGTACGTGGTGCTTACTAGACTTTCTCTTCAAGAAGGAAGAATCTGCTTACTTTTATCAGAAAAATTAGTTTCTAAAACCTGAATATAAGTAGAATATATATACATATATACATATGTGTGTGTATACACATATATATATATATATATATTCAGTGTGAAGCTGAGAACAGATTCAGAGACCAAGATGCTTTATCTATGGGAGATGAATGCATGAAGCACCCTACTACCACAAATTATGCAGTTATGCAGTTGAGTTTTCCACAAATGGATAACTGATACCTCAGGGATCAGCATATCTGGAGTACAATGGTTATTAAATAGTTGTCTACTTTTTTGAACATGGTATCTCACCTGCCATGCTTGTTATTAACCACTTCTCAGATAAGCAGAATTTACAACATACTTTCAAGCACTATCCCCTATGGTGTACACTAAATAGATAGAAATTGCAATGGATCTTTGCCTACATGCCAAAACAGGTGAGGACCAGGCATGAGATGACACGTAGAACTGCCCTGGGATGCACTGGATGAGGCATTTTGTTCTAATATCAGCTCTTTTTACTAAGAATCCTCTGTATAGAGGAAGACAAATGTATGCCTTTGTTCACCTACATTTAATTGCTCTATTCAGAAAAATGAATATGTGGATGTTTGAAGAGATAGTACAAAGATCTTTGGTGCATAAGCACTGGAATAATGTGGATGAGAGAAGAAAAATGGAGGACATTAGTCCAACACTGAGTCCTCTCTACCTCATCATTTTCATTTGGAAACATCAGAGAATCACTGACCACATCATTTTTCTTCGTTCACTTGACTGGGTCTCATCCTCAAGCAGACTCTCTTAGCAAGACATTGACATGATTTTTCTACTTGTCCCAGCCCTTGTTTCTTATTTATTGTCTATTAAAGAAAGTTTGAGTTTGTCCTTTCAATTCTAATGATGTGAAGTTTCCGTTCCGTGCCTCTGTCCTTAGTTTTGCCTGTCCTAAAGCTATCATTGGTTCCAAGCCACAAGGAAAATAACAATTTATAACATGTGAAGCTACAGTCACTGCACAGCCTTCTGGATTGTCCATGCATTCCTACCTCCATACGTTTGTCTCTTTGTATTCTGGGAGTTGCGGTCCTGGACTATTCCTGCAACATCATTCTCCATCATTTCCTTTTACCACTGTGCACCTAAACAGTCAGATTTTGTTAGAAATACTTACCACCTTGGTTGATTCTTGCTTCTGGACCTTTGCTTTTCTCTGCTAGAAATCCTTATTATCATACGTCAAGCTAGACAAATCCTTTGTCAGATACCCTCTTCCTGAAAACCTTTCTTGACTTCACCATCACAAATTGCATCCAGAGATCCCCTCTGAACTCATTCTGCAAATGAACTTCATCCTAGTGTTTAATTATTCTGCATTATAACTGCCACCTTCTACATCCATCTCTACTCCTGGGAAGTAGAAATATGATGGCAAAGACAAACGTGAATCTTTATTTTCACAGTATCAAACATATCCCTGCCCAAGGAAACTTTTCTTGAAAAATAGCTTCCAGAAAATTTTCAAGAACTGATAATCAGCCTAACTCAAGACTTTGGTACTTACTGATATAACTAAACAATTTTTTCCAGCAATACCAGACACTAGGAACAGAACAAGTATATTTTTTTATATGTGAGAAACTTAAGAGGATGTTATTTACAATGTCACAATTCTTTTAAATAATTTTCCTGTTGCTTTTACTGTAGATAAGACTTCATGAGATAGGCTAACACTGCCATTAACAACATTTTTTGTGGTATTGGGTGAAATCCAGGGTCTTGCAGAATACTGGCCAAGCATTATATAACTGAGCTATATCCCCAGACTGTGTGACTTCTTTCTACCTCCAAACAAAGCTTGTGGCATCCAGACCCTCTGCTTTACATTTCAGATTTGGGTTGATTCTTCTGCTTCCTCTTTGTCACGTATATTACACTTTTCATGGACATGTTAATTATTTTGATCTTAAATTTTGGTTGGAAGAAGCAATATTTGATTATCTGAGAAATAAAAACATGTTCCTGGTTCAATATCTTCTTACCTCAATCAAACTAAAGAAGAGGTTTTTTGTTTTTTTTTTTTTTTTTTTTTTTTACTCAGAGATGGAGGGTGCTTGGTTATTTTATATGCAAGTGAGATTAAGGGTGTTTGGTCATTTTATATGCAAATTAAAGGATGAAAACATGAGTGCTGAGGATTTCAAAGATGGAAGTTTAGAAGAATGTTTCATTTCTATTCTAATCACAACCATCACTATGTCAGTTCTTTGTAAACATCTTCTAACATTCAATTTCTGCATTTATTCTTCCAATTACCTTTGTTTTAATTGCAAGAGATTTAGGAAAGAACCATAAGTCATGTGTTGATGACTCAAGAAAAGACTGTTGTTGACGCCCCCATAGGGAAGGACACATGGTAAGATTACATAAAAGAATTAACACAGGGAAAATAGGATAACTTGTTGGGACATGTCATTGTACATGCTGGAAAATGAATGAATGAGAATTGATGGAAGGGCCTGGGCAATAGGTTTTTCTATACCGTTGTTCCTATCTTACTTATCTAGTTTCTCAACTAATTTTCTTTAGAGCTAGAGTTGTTGAAGATTTTGGAGATGCCCAGATTATAGTGAAAATGCTGCAGAAGTGGAAAGTTGTTCATTGATTCATTGTTTCAGCAGCCAAAAAGTGTGGAATCTTCTTCTATGTCAAAGATCAGCTGGTATTCAAACCTGATGGGAATAGGAATCACTCAGACAACCAAGAACTGTATCATATACACAAAACAAGCAGGCATTAAGAAGATAAATGTCCAAATAGAAGAAAGAGATTTCAAAAGGAATGAATATGGAGAAGTTATGATGATGTTCACAAAGGGAAATCCTTCTGAATCATCAGAATTTCATGTAAACACTGAAAAGAGGTGAGACTAAGGGTTGGGGATTTAGCTCAGTGGTAGATGGCAACCCTAGCAAGTGCCATGGCTTTGGTCCTCAGCTCTGGGGGATAAAAAAAAAAAAAGACAGAGGTGAGACTGGAGATAAGAGTGGATCCATCATAGAGAAAGGATTTGTAGCACTTTTAGAAGCAGACTATTTTGATTTGAAATTTTCCAGAGATTCTCTGGTCTTGATGTGTTTTAACTTGTAGCATTAATAGCTCTAAGTAAATACAAAAATTGGACCAAAGGAAGGTTAACATTATGAGACACTCTTTATAATGAATGAGGAAATGTTGGCTTTCTAAGTTTTATAGTAGAAAAACCATTATGTCCATTATCTCAATAAATAAAAGGACAGAGACCTTAGAGACTATTGTTCATGTTTCCCAATCTTTCTCATAGTTGTCTAACTTATTTGTCAACAATATGAAAGCTAGAAACCAAACAAGTACTTCAGAATTTTTACTTGTGGGGCTTTCCCAGGACCCAGAGCATCAACCCATGCTATTTGGACTGTTTCTGCTCATGTTTGTGACTGCTGTGCTTGGGAACCTGCTCATCCTTGTGGCTGTCAGCTTTGATGCCCACCTCCACACTCCCATGTACTTCTTTCTTTCCAATCTGTCCTTTTCTGACATTTGTTTCATCTCTACAACTATCCCTAAGATGTTGGTGAACGTCCAAACACAGAGCAAGTCCATTACCTATGCAGAGTGCATCACCCAGATGTTTTTTTTCATGGTCTTTGGAGGCATGGACACATTTCTCCTCACTGTGATGGCCTATGACCGATTTGTGGCCATCTGTCACCCCCTTCAGTATCCTGTCATCATGAACTCCCAACTGTGTGGCCTGTTGGTTCTTGTGTCCTGGTTCATCAGCTTCTCATACTCTCTGATCCAGAGTTTGTTGATGCTGCGGCTGTCCTTCTGCACCAATCAGATAATCAAACACTTTTACTGTGAACTTGCTCAAGTCCTCACTATAGCCTGCTCAGACACACTGCTCAATCATATCTTTCTTTATATGGTGACTTGTATTCTTGGCTTTATTCCTTTCTCAGGAATCCTTTATTCCTACTCCCAAATTGCCTCCTCTATTCTGAGAATCCCATCAACATTTGGAAAATATAAAGCATTTTCTACCTGTGGGTCTCACCTATCAGTGCTTTGTTTATTCTATGGGACAGGCCTTGGTGTGTACCTTAGTTCTGATGCAACTTCCTCTTCCTGGAAGAGCATGGTGGCCTCAGTAATGTATACAGTGGTCACTCCCATGCTGAACCCTTTCATCTACAGCTTGAGGAACAAAGACATTAAGAAGGCCTTACAAACACTTGGGAGAATACTTTTTTTAAATGATAAGATCACTGGTTTTAGGTTTCTGCGCTGACACAAGTAAAGCAATAGACAAAAGAAATTCTGCCCCTTCATCATGCAGAATTTTTATCCAGTTTGTTCTTTTGTCTTTGATCAAAATTAGACTGTGAGTACTTTTTTTATTTTTTTTAACTTTTATTAATTACACTTTATTCACTGTGTATTCGGCCATAAACTCCTCCCATCTCCCCTCCTAATCCCAGCTTCCCCCTTCTTCATGCATGCCCCTCCCCAAGTCCACTAATAGGGGAGGTCCCCCTCTCCTTCTTTCTGATCTTAGTTTATCAGATCTCATCAGGAGTGGCTGCATTCTCATCTTTTGTGGCCTGGTAAGGCTGCTCCCTTCTCAGGGGGAGGTGATCAAAGAGCAGGCCAATCAGTTTATGTTAGAGGCAGTCCCTCTTCCTATTACTATGGAACCCACTTGGACACTGAACTGCCATGGGCTACATCTGTGCAGGGGTTCTAGGTTATCTCCATGCATGGTACTTGGCTGGAGTATGAGTCTCTGGAAAGACCCGTGTTCAATTTTTCTGGTTCTGTTGCTCTCCTTGTGGAGTTCCTGTCCTCTCCAGATCTTACTATTTCCCACTTCTTTCCTAAGATTCCATGCACTCTGCCCAACAGTTGGCCATAAGTCTCAGCACCTGCTTTGATAGTCTGCAGGACAGAGCCTTTCAGAGGCCCTCTGTGGCAGGTTCCTAGGTTGTTTCCTGTTTTCTTCTTCTTCTGATGTCCATCCTCTTTGCCTTTCGAAATGGGGATTGAGCATTTTAGTCAAGAGTCCTCCCTCTTGATTAGTTTCTTTAGATGTACAGATTTTAGTAGGTTTATCCTATATTATATGTCTATATGAGTGAGTATATACCGTGTGTGTCTAAAGAAGCTGAAAAACAACAAACCAAGTAATCCAATTAAAAAATGGAGAACAGAGCTAAACAGAGAATTCTCAATAGAGGAATATCAAATGGCAGAGAAACACTTAAAGAAATGTTCAACCTCATTAGCCATCAGGGAAATGCAAATCAAAACAACCCTGAGATTTCACCTCACACCCATCAGAATGGCCAATATAAAAAACTTAAGTGACAACATGTGCTGGAGAGGTTGTGGAGAAAGGGGAACCCTCCTCCATTGCTGGTGGGAATGTAAATTTGTACAACCACTCTGGAAATCAATCTGGCGCTTTCTCAGACAACTAGGAATAGTGCTTCCTCAAGATTCAGCCATACCACTCCTAGGCAAATGTCCAAAAGAGACTCAAGAACACAATAAGGACATTTGCTCAACCATGTTTGGAGCAGCTTTATTTGTATAGCCAGAAGCTGGAAACAACACAGATGCCCCTCAACTGAAGAATGGATACAGAAATTGTGGTACATCTACACAATGGAATGTTACTCAGCAATGAAAAATAAGGAAATCATGAAATTTGCAGGTAAATGGTGGGAACTGGAAAGGATCATCCTGAGTGAGCTGTCCCAGAAGCAGAGAGACTGTGAGTACTTTTATCTGAAACTCATATGATGCCTCCTTTGTTATCCTCAGTTCTATCCTCCTCCTCTCTTTTTATGTGACACATTTCTTCACTTCAGTATGTTTACATTTCTACAGGACAATACAATCATTCAAATACCAATTTGTGAATTGTTTAATAAAAGTTATGAAATAATTAATGTATAAAACCTAAGTACATGTATAGGTATACAATATCTGCAGCTATAAATGCTGCATTAATTAGGCACAAGCTAGAATGTATGTTACTAGTAGACAGTCTCTCTCTGTAAAGGTTGCAACTTCCACTCAGAAATCATCACTGAGCTTTTAGACTGGAATTTTCCACTTGAGAGGAAGCTTGGTTATAGCATTCTGAACATGACTAATAGATATAAAATAATCTTGAAATGTAACATGTCTATAATGTCTCAAGCCAATGTCAGAGATGTACTCTAATGGGGAGGGCAGTACCTAGAAAATCTTTATAATGAAACGGAAGTGATTTATACAAGATAACACTGCAGATGTACAAGCTACTTAGGAGAAGTATCCAAACAGGTTTTTTTTTTTTGCATTGTTACTATTTGTATAGTGTTCTATACATGTTTCTCAGCTCACCTGAAAAAAAAAAAAACTGCTTTTCTCCTAGATGGCTATCCCATCACAAATAGATAGAAGGCTGCCACTCTGATTAAAAAATAAAAATAGCCCTTTTTGCCTTTTTCTCCCTTTTCCCTTTTCTCCCTTTCCCTGTCTCCCCCTTTCGCCCTTTTCTGCCTTCCTGCTCTCTCTCTGTCTTTCTCCCTCCCCTCCCAGTGTGCACTCTCCTCCTCCAGCCCCCTCCATCACTGCTCCCAATAAACCTGCCTTTACATAATAATAAAAAAGAAAAAATTAAAAGTCACTTCAGTAAGATAACGTGAATTCCATTTTCCCATTTGTTGGAACCTTTACCAGTCATGTTGGCCAATGCTCTGGCAATGTGATTAGGCAAAAAGAAAGTAAGAAAGAAAAAGAAAGAAAGGAAGGAAAGAAATAAAGAAGGAAGGACAAAGAAAGAAAGACAGAGAGAGAGAGAGAGAGAGAGAAAGAGAGAGAGAGAACTGGCCTATTAAAGTTATGCTTTTGTGAAGAATGGCCCTGGGAAATCACTACGAAATTTTAAGCCCATCTACTTAGGGTTACAGTTCATAGTCCGTCATTCAGGGGAGTCCTGGTAGAAAGCTGGAGGCTGGAGCCGATCCTGAAGCCATGGAGGAGTGCTACTTACTGGATTTCTCCCCACAGCTTACTCAGCCTGCTTTATTTCTTTCTCTTAAGTATTTATTTTTATTAATAATTTTTAAATTAAATAATTATATCACTTTTTCCTTCTCTTGTCTGCCTCCAACCCCTCCAACGTTCCTTATCGCCAAGCCATTCCATACACTTACCCCTCCAGTGCCTTTCAAATTAGTGGCTTCTTTTTCTCTTTTCTTTGTTGTTGTTTTACACACACAAACACACACACAAATACAGCCTGCTCTGAGTCAGCTTGGTGTGGGCTTGTATGTATATGATGTCGGTGCTGACCACTTTGTATTGGATAACTAATTAAAAAGGCCCATTCTTAGGAGAGGCTAACTCTCCCTGTCAATAGTCATTAGTTGCCTTCAGTTTTTCATCTAGAGGTAAGACCCTCTGAGACTTCCCCCATCTATGTTACCGTAGCTATTGTTATTGTCTGGGTCTTGTTTGGATATCAAGGGTGTGGTTTCTCTGTCATTCTTGGAGTCACCATCCCACAGCAGATTTCCTGGTCTTCTGGCTCTTAGTATCTTTTTGTTCCTTCTTCTGGTTCCCTTGAGCCTTGTGTGCAGAAATTGTGTTACAGATGTATCTTTGGGGGACGGTCTCCCCACAATCCCTTGATCTCTGTACCATGGTAAGTTTTAGTTTTTCCTGTAATGGCCTTCTGTTTTCTTCTTTAAATACAATTTTTTTTCACTTTACATTCATATTGTAGCCACTTCCCACGTCTCCTTCCACTCCCACCCCCCTCTTCTGCTTATTCCCCCTCCCCTACTCCTCAGAAAAGGGAAGCCTCTCCCCCTCCAAACCACCCCAACACATCAAGGCACATCAGGACTGAGTGTATCCTTTTTCCCTGTGGCCTAGAAAGGTAGACCCACCAGAGAGAAATGACTGAATAGATCTAGAAACTATGTTTGAGAATCGGTTTGAACAGGTGAGTATTTCATTGCAGGAGAGTACTGACAGTTAACCTTCCTTCTTATAGCACCAAGAACCACTAACTAAGAGTAACACTGTCCACTCTGGTCCTCCCACATGAATCAATAATGAAGAAGTACACCAGAAGCTTGCCGACAGGCCAATCTGGTGGCAGAATTTTCTCAATTAAGGTTACCACTAACAAAATGGCTATAGTTTGTGTGAAGTTGTCACACAACTAGCCAGCACACTATCAGAAGAATCATTTTCAGTACAGGAAGATGACTGGATGAACCTCTTGTTTTAAAGAAAGCAAATCCCAAATTGTTTAGTTTTACCAATGAAGATGCCAGAGCCAGATACTGGAATGAAAACTTACTGGGTCTGGAGGCAGAGAAAGCACACAAAGGACCTTTACTCAGCTCACATCCCAAAAGAAAAAGTCAAAAGGCCGAAAGACAAATGGCCAAGGCCAAAAGGTTGCCAGCTCAGCCAACAGCCCAGGAAGAAAAAGCCAAAAGCCCCAGAATCAAAGAGCTAAAGAGCTCCTTCTTCTCCACACTGTTTTCAATGCCATTCAACTTAAATTCCACCCTTTCTACTTAATCCCTGACAGATGGTTTCTTGCTCTGCCTCTTGACCTGGGGTTAATTTTATTAAATGCTGAATTTAAAAAGCACTTGAAAGTGAATAAATTGTAATTTATAAAAATTAAAATTGAAAAAAAAAAACAGGAAAAAAAGCTCTTGAATTAAAGGTGTGTGCTAGGCTGAGTCACACCATAATCACCTATTTACAATAAGCAGAAAGTTCTTGGATGAAAGTTGTGTTAGGACTATACTACACCAAACAAAAGACAGGTTTCTACAGTTCACTATCTCGAGGTTCACAATGGGATCAAATATCCTGCAACACTTCCCTCCTTTTGTCTAAATAAAAGACTTTTCTATAACACTGATAAATTATACACTATTCTGGTAAAAAAAAAAAAACACTCAAAATGTCCAGTCCCTTAGTATTTGGCAACCTTGGAGAAAATATTCTACTCTCTATTCTATCTTGGTGAGTCCAAAGTTCTAAACATAAATTGCTTTGGATCATAATTTGTATCACTAATGAAAAAGAATCTTTTAGAATTAAAACATCTTCTTAAATTCTAAACAACTTAAGCTTAATTGTAAAACTATAACTACTTAGTCTTCAACCCCATCAGAGACCTGAGAATGATAAGTATTACCTGAATAAACAGGAAGTGGAGAGCAAGCAGCTTCCAAAACTATAGAAATTAGATAGAGACTTCTGGCTGCCTGGTGTCACCCACCATTTCTCTATAATGTTAGAGTATCATGTTCAGCCTCCTGAATCAGAATATCTGACAGACTTTCTTGTGAAGCAGGTAGCATGAAGGACTTGCCTACCTTGTCCTTGCAAATCTCAGAAGTCGACTTTCCGGCATCCAGTTTGCCCAGTATTCTGTCTAAAGTAGAAGCAAGGGCATTTTATTTTATTGGCCAGTGGCTAGCTTGCCACATATGAAGCCATCTCCAAAAGCATCTTTATGTTCATCATCTTCTTTGGAATCAAAAGGTGGTGCCACCAGGAGCTGACAGGTCTCATTGTCAAAAAATTCTCAAATTAACAACACATCTTTAAATGCCGTGGTAGTGTTCCTTCTGTTTCTATTTTGGGGAATAGTTTGAAGAAGAGAATTGGAGTTAGCTCTTCTTTGAAGGTCTGGAAGAATTCTGTGCTGAAACCATCTGGCCCTGGGCCTTTTTTTTGGGGGGGGGGGGACTTTTGATGACTGCTTCTATTTCCTTGGTGGATATAGGACTATTTAATCTATTTACCTGATCTTGATTTAATTTTGGTAAATGGAACCCATCAAGAAAATTGTCCATTTCATTTAGGTTTTCAAATTGTGTCACATATAGGTTTTTGTAGTAAGACCTAATGATTGTTTGGATTTCCTTGGTGCCTGTTATTATGTTCCCCTTTTCATTTTATTTTGCTGCTTTGGATAATTTCGCTCTGCCTTTTAGTTAATTTGGCTAAGGGTTTGTCTATCTTGTTGATTTTCTCAAAGAACCAGCTCTTGATTTCAGATTCTTTGAATTGTTTACTTTGTTTCTAATTCATTGGTTTCAGCTCTGAGTTTGATTATTTCCAGTTGTCTACTCCTCTTGGGTGTGTCTGCTTCTTTTTTTCTAAGGCTTTTCGGTGTGCCATTAAGTTGCCTGTATGATGTCTGAAACTTCTTTCTGGAAGCACTTAGTGCTATGAACTTTCCTCTTAGCACTGCTTTCCTTGTGTCCCATAAGTTTGGTTAAGTTGGGCCTTCATTTTCATTGAATTTTAAGAAGTCTCTAATTTCTTTTTTTCCTTTCTTTCCTGACCAAGCTGTCATTGAGTAGAGAGTTGTATATTTTCCGTATGTATGTAGGCTTTTTGTTATTTCTGTTATTTCTTTTTGTTATTTTGTGTATGTGTATACTCGTGTGTCATGAATGTGGAGGCCAGAGGATAACTAGTAAGAGTCAGTTCGTCTATCATTTGTGTTTTGGGAAACTCTGGTTGTCAGGGTTGGTGACAAGTGCCTTTAATCAGTACTAGTCCTCGTCAGTACATGTCTGTCTTTTGATAGATAAATTTCATCATCACATTTGAAGCACCTATTTCATAAAAGGATTATGCCCTATGGTTTTGATTTACACCTATAATGCAAGGTTATTCAACATATGCAATAATCAGGTATCACATATGACGTAACAAAATAAGAAAATCACCATAGAAAAAATTACAAAAATAAAAGGCACAGAAAAAAGTCAACATTTTCCATGATACTCTCAACAAACTGCATATAGAAATGATCGCACCTTAATTTACTGGTGATTATATATGTATGTCAAGTCAGTGGCTATCATCATACTAAAAGAAAAGTCCAGGGTTTTTCCTTTAAGATCAAGAACAACAATATCCCTGCTTGGAACTTATATTCATCATAAAACTGGAAGTTTGAGCCAATTAAGTAAGAAAGAGAAATAAAAGGCATCTAAATAAAAAAACAAGACAAAACTGTTTGCATATATTGTCATTCTGAATGGAAGAAAAATTGGTAGACCTATCTGGAAAACAGCATTAAAGCTCCTCATGAAACTTTAAGTACACTAACTAAATACTCCAACAAACTGATTATGGGTAGACACTCAAGGAATGCTTAAAGAGATATGTGTAATCTATGTTCAGTGTCGAAAAACCAACAATAAAGTATGTAAACAACCTAAGTTTTCCTTTGTGTAAAAAAAAAAAAAAACTTTCATACAGAATGGGCACATAAGAAACTGACTTGTCTTAAGGTGGAACTCAAAGATGAAACTCAAGGTTCTCCTCTGATCTCCACATGCACACACAGATGCATGCAAACACATATCACATATACTCATACATACAAATATTTTGACTGCATAAAAAGAATGTCTACTCTTTTTTTTTTTTTTAAGGAAATTGTGTCATGCAGGACAGCAGGGATGAAACTAGAAGACATTTTGTTGTGTGTAAATAAGCAAGACACAAAAAAACTAAAAATAATACATTATTTAAATATAAAGTGTAGCTGGGCATGTTAGTGTATACATTTAATCCCAGCACTTGGGAGGCAGAGGATCTCTGTGAATCCACTGCCAGGCTGGTCTATACAGTGAGTTCCAGAGTAAAGAGTGAGGACCCTGTCTTTAAAAGGGGGAAGGGATATAAGTCAAACAGGAGGAAAAAATGTAACTGTGGTTACCAAAAACTAAGAGTTAATATTTATGAGTTACTGTTAAAGGTTAAAAACTTTCAGTTACAAAATGAGCAACAAAGCGTTTCATAATACCAAAACCAATTACTGTATTACACTTTAATAAACATTGTCTCATTGTGTATACATATATTCCATAAATCTTGTACATCCTAAATAGATTTTAAGACTGGAAAGTCATTAAGTGCAAATATTAAAAATATCTTAAAACATTGAAAATGCAAAAACTGGTCAAAACAAGTTTATAAAACAATCAAGAAAGCCAGGTTTCTGTTAGTATACAAGATCTTAAGACACAGAAACAATCGCCATATTTTATACACAAAGTTTCCCAAATGTGAATCACTTCATGTTTATTGAACGTTGATGACTAACATAAATACCTACTTTCCAACATTTCTTACTTTCACGAAGTCCTCCACTGTGGTACTGTAGGTAATCATCAAAGCACTAAACAGAAATATGTTATGTGCCAACAGAGTTTCTCTCACATACTTATAAAAAAGCCCTAGAAATAGTTAAGACTTTCTATGTTTCTGACATTGTGCAGCTTCAAAGTGAGTTCATGTGAGCTGCATTTTGAACATTCTGATCACTTCCCACTAAGTTCATGAGGCCTTTTTACAACATGAGTTCTTTCATGTCTTTGAAGTCAACTAAGACATAATCACTTTACAAATGGCTTACACTGATAAGCTTTCTTGCTACTATGAATCTGAATGTACTGCTAAAGCATCAGAACTTCCTAAACCAGTCTCTTCATTCCTTCCAACCAAAGACTTTATCTCAAGGGCTTTTATATGTTCTGTAAGATGAGAGCTACTGAAGGCTATTCCATAACTTTTACACTTATAGGGTTCCTCTCCACTGTGAATTCTGACATGTTTACTTAGATGTGAGTAAACAGCAAAAGCTTTCCCACACTCCTTACATTCATAGGGTTTCTCTCCAGTGTGAGTTCGCATGTGAATATGAAGGTAGGAGGAACATGTAAAGGCTTTCCCACACTCGTGACATTCAAAGGGCTTCTCTCCAGTATGAATTCTCAAATGTGCAATAAGGTAGGAGGAAGAAGCAAAAGACTTTCCACACTGGTCACATTCGTATGGTTTCTCTCCTGTGTGACTTCTTATATGTTCAAGGAGGCCTGAAGATGTGGCAAAAGCTTTCCCACACTCCTTACATGCATAGGGCTTCTCCCCAGTGTGAGTTCTAATATGTTTTGTAAGACCAGAGCGCACAGTGAATGCTTTCCCACATTCCTCACACTTATGGGGTTTCTCTCCTGTGTGAATTCTTACATGTTTACTTAGATGTGAGGACACAGTGAAGGCTTTCCCACATTCCTTACATATATAAGGTTTCTCTCCAGTGTGAGTTCGTATGTGATTATGAAGATAGGAAGAACATGCAAATGCTTTTCCACACACATTGCACTCAAATGGATTTTCTCCAGTGTGTGTTCGTAAATGTTTAGTAAGGCTTGTGCGCTCAGTGAAGGCTCTGCCACACTCCTTACATACATAGGGCTTCTCTCCAGTGTGAGTGCGCATGTGAATACGAAGATAAGAAGAGCATGTAAATGCTTTCCCACACACTTTACACTCATAGGGCTTCTCTCCCGTGTGTGTTCTTAAATGGGTAATAAGAGTTGAGGAAGAAGCAAAAGCTTTCCCACAGTGATCACATTCAAAGGGTCTCTCTCCCATGTGACTTTTCATATGTTTAATAAGGCCTGAGGTTGAAGTGAAGGCTTTCCCACATTCCTTACATTCATAAGGCTTCTCTCCAGTATGTGTTGGTAAATGTTTACTTAGGCCAGAGCGCCCTGTAAAGGCTTTACCACAATCCTTACATTTATAGGGCTTTATTCCAGTGTGAACCCGAAAATGATCATTAAGACAAGAGGAGTTTCTAAAGCATTTTCCACAAACTTTACACTCAAAGGGCTTCTCTTCAGTGTGAGTTTTTAAGTGCTGGGTTAGTGGATAACACCTAGAAAAGGCTTTCCCACATTCCTTGCACTGATAAGGTTTCTCCCCAGTGTGGGTACGCATATGAATATTAAGGTTGGCAGAATATTTAAAATTTTTACCACATTCCTTACATTCATAAGATTTTTTCCCAGTGTATGTTTGACCATTGCCAGCATGGCTCATGGTTGCATTAAAAGCTTCACCACACTGTACTCCCTTAGAGAGTTTGTCTTCATTATGACTTTTCCCAAGTGCCTGAAGGCATGACTGACTATCAAAGGCTTGCTGAAGTTTACTGGATTCAAAGAATTTGGCTTGTACACATGTTGTCTGGTAAGTAGCACTTGTAATCATATTAAAGTTTTTTCCATTCTGACTTAATTGAGGACCTTTGTCTGCGGAAAAGGTTTCCTTAGGCCAAGTAGGAAAGACTTGTCCATTCTGAATGCAACCATAAACGTTTCCTGTGTTTTGAATACCTATGTGTATGAGACTACATAAAATTTCTCTGATGATTTCTCCAGGTGGCTTCAAGTCACAGAGCTCCTTTCCATTGTGGCTGAGTAACTGTTGATTAAAATATATATAGATTAATTTTTTTTTCATTTATCTCACTCATCTAAAGATAAGAACATGATAAGGATGGTGGGTTTTCCCATTTTTATTACATGTATTTTACTCAACGTGAATGAAAAAAATCCTACAAGAATCTTATGCCATCTGTTCTAATCCTGAAAGGCTTCTACTGGCCCGGGTTCTGCTTCTGACCTTGACCTGTCTAGACACTACTGGGCATAGGGCTGGAAGAAATGAAACTCAAGGGGCCAGTGGGTTACACAGGACCTTGGTTAAGTGCAGGAGAAACAGCCTTTCCTGAAATGGGTTTCTGTGAAACAACTCTCCTTTATTGGGAACACATGAGCTCTAAAAACCTTAGGGAAATGGGTAGAGGTTTTCAGGGCGAGTGGACATCATTGGCTGGGGCTGAGGTACTAAGGGAGCTACAATTTGCATAATGGAAAATCCCGGTGTTAGCTGGACATGCCCTTACAAGGAAATAGGAAACTGTAACCTGAAACCTGGCCACCAGGATGCATGACCACCTTGAGGGCGGCAGAGGCGGGGTCACATACCTATGCGAGTCAGGGCCCACAGGCCCAGAAGAGGGAGGGGTTAGTCCCTCCTCCTGCCGGCCTCAAGAGGAGACTTTGGGGTTTGGACACATCTCGAACTTACTCTTGCTCCTGACTAACCCCCCTGGTCACAAGACTCATGAGCTCCACAGGCTTCCTGTGCTTTCATGAAACTGTTTTAAAAGCACAATGTCTGTAACATAGGTAGGAATATGTGCTTATGGGAGCTCAAGTTTCAAAATAGGATTTGAACACCTTTCTAGACACTACTTCTGTGGATGTAGGTTAATTCTAATACCTCTTTATTTGTAAGCATTTTGATAAAATTTACATGAAATACCCAGTATATTTCATTGAAGAAAATGTAAAATCTTTCTTGTGACTCTTACCAGTTGTATCTCATTTGCCATTTTTAACTGAAAAATATCCTGCTGAAACACTGTCCCTCTGGTGTTAAGTTGCATAGCGCATTCTGAAGTTAAATAACAAACAAACAAAAAATGTAAGTGCTTCCACAGTAAAATAGAGACATTAATAATTATATATCTCATTTGAGTTTGTTTTCATTTTAAACAAGTTAAAAATAAAGTTATGTTATATGTTAGCAACTTGGCTAAGTTTAAAATTTTACAGGCTGGGGATTCAGGTCCATGTCAGAATAAAAGAGAATCTGGGAGCTGGAGAGATGGTGTAGAGGTTAAGAATATTTGCTGTTCTTGTTTTAAAATAAATTAATAAAACATGCAGATTCAGTCCCAAGCACCCACATCAGGCAGCTCACAACCATTGTGACTCCAGTTCCAGGAAACCATACACCCTCTTCTGGCCACCACAGGCACCTGCATACACATGGCATACAAGCCCTTATGCATACACATAAAATTTAAAACAATAATATTTTTTAAAGAGGCCCTAGATCCAGCAGTCAATAATAATGATACTAACATAAACACATAAAATCACAATTACAAAGAGAACAGGCAATAAAAATTTAAAAATAATTTTCTCTGAAATTTAAATGTCCTGGGTAAACAGAGACAATATTATCAGGGAGATAAGAAAGATTTAGACAATTGAGATTGTTAAAAAGAAACAAATAAAAGTCTAAATAGGTGAAAAGTAATAGAACTTAGAGGTATGAAGATCTAAAATGTCCAAGTCCAATGGCCTCAGCTTTCTGACTCAAGCATCTCTCTGTGGTAACATACCTTAGTGGCAGAGTACTAGCTTAGCTTGCCTTTGTGCCATCCACAGAATGGGGAGGGGTTCCCTACTATATTTCAAGTAGACTAAACCCCCAAACATTTGTTAAGTTTACCACCTTAGTAAACTCCTCCCTCAACTACTCTCAACTCTTCAGCCTCCAAACAAGAGCTTGGTTTGGACTTGATAAGCTGATCCTATGCATGAAGACAGATGCACTCATGAAAGCAAATCAAGCAAGTAAGAGTATACCTTTCCATGACTTAGAAACTATGGTTCCAATGATAGCAATGAAATACTGATAAAGACCCCAATAAAGAAATAGCCCTTTTATGTGTTGATAAGTAATGACTTCGTACCCTTAAAGTGATAGTTACAAGGATAAGACAAAATACTAATACTGGGCCAGTGGAATGGCTTACCATGTAAGAGTGCTTGCCACTACACCTGACCACCTATGTACATGCTAGGACATGGTGGAAAGAAAGAACTGACTTCCCCAAGTTGTCTACTGACTTTTAGACATGGTAACAAACAAAAAAATAAATGTAAAAAGAACATTTTTAAGTACAAATATCAATCAAATAAAAAAGAAAGTGAAAGAAAAGAAATTAAGACAGGTTTTCAGTGTGTGGTCTTGGCTGGCCAAAAACTTCATAGATCAGGCTAGCCTTGAACTCACGGAGATATATGCCTGTCTCTTCTTCCTGGAATGCTAGGATGAAAAGCATGTGCCACCACATCCACGAGATCTTTGTTATCATGGAGAAAAAAAAATTATGCTAGTAGTTAGATATTACAGTACATCAGAATCATGTGGAGGGACAATTAAAACAGACAGTCTGGACAATAAACAGTATTTCTGATTCAGTTTGTCAAATATAGTCTGACAATTTCCTTTCAGTTGAGTATATTAGCAATACTCGTGATCTTAGGGCTGTGTCTTAAGACACAACAGAGTAGATTAAAACACAATAAGGCAGACTATGAGGGGGCTGGAGAGAGGTTAACAGAACTGGCTGCCCTTCCAAAGGTTCCGAGTTCAATTCCCAGCAACCACATAGTGGCTCACAACCATCTGTAATGAGATCTGATGACCTCTTCTGGCATGCAGGCAGGACACTGTATACATAAGAAATAAAAATTAAAAACTTTAAAAAAAAAAAAGGCAGACTATGAGCTCTCAATCAATCTCTCTCTCTCTCTTTCTCTCTCTGCTGTTTTTTGCTTTGTTTTGTTTTATGAGACATTCTCTCCATATAGCCCTGGCTGTTCTGGAGCTAACTGTATAGACCTGGCTGAATTCAAATGCACAGAGATCCTCCTGACTCTGCCTTCCTAATACTGAGATTAAAGGCATGCACCACCATGCCCAGCCTTTTGGTATTTTCAACTGTCCTTAGAGCTGCCACCACCAATCCTAAAACAAACAAACAAGCAAAAAATTCATAGGTGTAATGGCTCAGCAGGTAAAGGTGATTGCTGCCAAGCCTGACAACCTGAGTTCCATCCCTAGACCTCACATGATAGAATGAGAGAGATGACTCCCAAAAGTTATGCCCTGAACTCCACTAGTGGACTATGATACACTCAAACAGACACACACACACACACACACACACACACACATATATATAACATAAAATAAAATGTGACTAGAAAAATATACATTTTTGTTCTGTAAGAATATACAGGGAATGAGGGGAACCTCACCTAATGTGGCCAGGTTCCAGGAGTTCTCAAACATCACCTCTCTGTAAAGGTTCCTTTGTTGTGTGTCCAATAAAGTCCATTCCTCCTGGGTGAAGTCTATAGCCACATCTTCAAAGGTCACTGACTCCTACAATCACATACACTTGGATCTGAGCCAACTAACATCTCCATCCAAAGTCACAGGAGACTAAATGGAAAGAAACTAAATGCCTACAACAGAGCTGGTAGTTCTCCAGTGGCATATGCCAGAGTTCAGTGAATAACCCTAGCTACTCTTTATATCCATCTCAGTACTATTAATTTTCACTTTCATGTCTTATCTTTAAAGATAGGGCTGGCCAGGTTGGCTGACCCTAAATTCTTTATTTTCCCACCTTTACCTACCTATGGGATTAAAGGCATGTACCACTGTGCCTGGACTTCATTCCTATATCTTTCTTGACACATTATTTCACCCACAACCAGACCAGATGCTCTTTCTCATTTATTTCCTTCTATTTAAACATGTTAAACATACTGCATACACTTGATAAATGCTGAGAGGTAAATAAGTCTACAGAAAAAGAGAACATTCATCCCCTTTATCAACTGTCAGAACACAGTAAAATCAGAAATACACAATGACATGAGGATGAAGATTAATTACAAATACTGAAATGTTCAAATAATTTTCACAATAATCTTAAATATAAAAGTTTACTTTTCTCATGGATATGATAAAATATATGACAAGAAGCAATGTCAGCGAGAAAAGATTTATTCTGGCTTACAGTTAAGATGTAGTCATGAAGAAATATAACTAATCACTCAGTCCTTGAATGAGGTTTTATTTCCTTCCAGAAGCTCTGGAGAAAAGGTCTGCCTACATGGAAACGTATCAGCCTTATGGGTGTAATACAGGATATGCATTAGTCACACCTGGTAACTTGTCCAGCAGTCAGACACTGTCCCTTCCTGCTCTGTCTTTTCATTATGAAAGTAGCTTGGGTTCCTAGAAAATAAACCTAGTAGGAAAAAGAAAAAGAAAGCAGAGTTATCCATAATTCTCACATTTACATACATGGATGTCATCCAATCTCGGGTCAAAATTCCCATACAGTCCAACACAGGCAATCAATCTCTCTCTCTCTCTCTCTCTCTCTCTCTCTCTCTGTGTGTGTGTTTGTATCTGTGTGTATGTCTCTCTCTCCCTCCCTCCTTCCCTCTACCCCTTTCTCTCTCATTTCACATGCATACAGAACTACTACACAGTGCTGGTGCATCAACTTCAGAAAAAGGAATGGTAAGCTACACGGTCCATGAGAACAAGTATATCAGTTATACCTTACAGGTAATAAACAATAAGCCCTAGAAACATAACCTATTAACTACTACCAATGAAGGAACTTATGAATAAAATCATAAGTAACACCCATAACCAGAGTACACACATCAGCAACTCTTGCCAACTTCGGCATCTGTACTAGTTATTTTTCTCATTGCTATGATAAAAAGAAAAAGAAAAAAAAACTCAACAAGAATCAACTTTGGGGGCTGGAGAGATGGCTCCATTGTAAAAAGCACTTGTTGCTCTTGCAGAGGACTCAGTTCTTAGCACCTACATAGTAGTTCACAACCATCCATAATTCCAGTTCGAGGAAATCTAATGCCCATTTATGACCTCTACAGGCACCAAGCACACGTGTGGTCCATAGACTAAGCAAGCAAAACACATAGAAAATAATAAAATAAATCTTTTGACAAATAAAAAAGAAGCAATTTAAAGGAGAGTTTATTAGGGCTTATACTTCAAGAGGATATATTCCTTAAAATATACTGGAACACTCTTCCAGAATTTGAAGGACAAGTTTAGACATATAAGTGGCCACTGGTGATCTCTTCTTTCTACGGGAGAAGGCATGTCAGCAGGAGTGACAGGTTGGCTGATTACATTGCATCAGCAGTGGGGAAACAAAGAATCAACAGGAAGTAGGGCTGGGCTATAAAACCTCAAGGCCTACCCAACACTGAGCCACTTCTTCCAGCAAAGTTCCACCTTCTGAAAGTTTGACAACCTTTCCAAAACAGCACTACAGGGAACCAAGGGTTCCAATAAATCATTGAGGTAATTTCATATTCAAATCACAGAGCATCCCTGAACTGGCAGAATGACTATTCAAGCCCAGAGCACCAACACATATTCTGTCTGTACGAGGAGCACACAACACATAAGCAAGTCTTACCATGGGACAAACTGATGGCTTCCATCCTGTAAGGGTGATGGTGAAATACACTGGGACACTCTCTTCCGGAATTTGAAAAATACGTCTGGGCAGATTATTCATATAAGTGGTCAGTGGTGATCTTTCCTCTCTCTACAGTGCTACTTGTATTCTTGAAGACATGGATGGACCATTCATCATCAAATATTACCTATTAATCATCAAGCATCATAATTAGATCTTTCTTTTTATGATGGGTTAAAACCACTAAAAATGATAACACATGGGCTGGAGAGGTGGCTGAGCAGTAAGAGCACAGGCTGCTCTTCCAGAAGGTCTGAGTTAAGTTTTCAACACAACCACCTGTAACTCCAGCTCTAGGCAATCAGACATCCTCTTCTGCCTCTGTGGGTCCTTTACTTTTATACAAATGAAATGCATTCACACACACACACACACACACACACACACACAATAATAAACATAAATAAAAATAAAAACAAGCTTAAAAATTAATTATCCTAAGATTTCAAGGGCTCCTATCATTAGCAACATTCATATTTAAAAACCTAGATTTTTAAATATGAATGGGGAACTGGAGAGACAGTGCAGTGGTTAAAGTGCTTGTTGCTCTTGTAGAGAATCTGGCTCAGTTCCCAGCACCCACATGGTGGCTCACAACCATCCAAAACTTTAGTTACTCTCTTTGAACTTCTACGTGCACCACGCACATCCTTGGCCCACACACATGCAGGCAAAACACTCACACATAAAATAAATAAACAAAAAGAAACAAAATCATCTAGATTCAGGACCAGTTAGATGGCTCAGCAGGTCTAAGTGCAGCCTAAATACAATCTCTGGGACCCATAAGGTAGAAGGAGAAAATCAACTCTTGAAAGTTTTCCTCTGACCTCTACACTCATGCTATAACATATACTAAATACATAAATGTAAAAAAAACTATGTCATAAAACAAACAAATGAACAAGACTCAGGAAAGAAAAAAAGAGCATGCAATTGTCCTAATCATCTACTTATAGATGAAGTAAAGCTTTAGGCACTTTGACCCTAAATTCTGATATGGTAGATGGCACTCCTCAGTAGGATCACCATATAGAAGACCCTAGAAATTAACACCTGGCTCACTTACTTTTGCTGCAAAAGATTAAAACGAGAACATCACATGGGCTTTTTGTTTGTTTTGTTAGTTTGAACCAAGCCTCCTACAGCCTGCACTGACTTCCTATTAAATATAAGCTGAGACTGACCCTGAATCCCTGATCATCCTTCCCAAGTACTGAAATTATATGCTTCTACCACCATCTTGGCCAGCTTCCGAAAAGTTTTACCAAAAAAAAGTCTGACTAAGGGCTGCCATAATGGCTCAATGAGTAAAATGTTTGCTGTAAAGCCTGGCAAGCTGAACCTGATTCCTACAATCTATAAGGGTAGAAGGAGAGAACCAACTACAAAATTGTCCTCTGTCCTCTCCAAGCTTACTATGGACCTTCACAGCACACATACACACACACCAAAAGCAATGATAACTGATACTTACATTGTTTGAAAAAAGACATTCAGGAGCTGGAAAATGATTCAACAATTAAGAGATGTACTGCTATAATAAAAGACCCAAGCTTGGTTCCCAGATCCCATAGCAGGAGGACCACAACAACCTATAATTCCAGTTCCAGAGTTTAACACTCTCTTCGCAGGACCTGCATTCACATGCACAATTTCCCATGAAGAAAAACATGCACATACATAATTGAAATGAAAAAAAAAATTTTTTGAAAGTCAGACTATATCTGAAGTACTAACAAAGCCAAACAGTGTCCCTGTCTACAAACACTGAGCTGCATGTTCTGAACTCTATGTTTTTGCTCCTAGCAGAGGACAGAAACCACACAGAGGGTATGCTGGCTAGTCTTATGTCAACTTGATACAAGCTTGAGTCACCTTGGAAGAGGTAACCTCAATTAAGAAAATGCCTCCATAAGACAGGGCTGTAGGCAAGCCTGTAGAGTATTTTCTAAAATTAGTGATTGATGTGGGAGGGCCAAGGTTATTGTAGGTGGTGGCATCCCTGGGCTGGTAGTCTTGGGTATTTTATGAAAATGAGCAAACAAGTAAGCTGTACTCTTGCATGGTCTCCAGGCTCCTGCCCAATTTGAGTTCCTACACTGACTGCCTTCAATGATGAAGTGTGATACAGAACTTTAAGTGAAATAAAGCCTTTCTTCTCCAAATTGCTTTTGGTAATGGAAGTGTTCCACCACAACAAGAAAAACCCTAAGAAAGAGGACAAACACTTTATCTTTTGCCCAACATGTGGCTATCTGGTGCTGTTTTCAAAAAACATCTGCTTTTTATTGGTGACTTGACTTATGCATTGAGATGAGTTACATTTTTACTTCATTTTTCAAGTTTAACTTTCATATTAGTGAAATAAATAAAAATAAAATAGATTCAATTCTCTGAGGACTCCACTGAACCTAGCTCAGTTTTTCTCCTTCCTGTGGATCCTCGAAGCCCTCCTTTCCAAGCCATTCTTAATTACTTTGTGTCAATCAGCAATACCTAAATTCTCATCGCACCCAACATTACTCAGTTGTTGGGGGTTGATCTGATGCTTGTATTTTGATGCTAATTACTGACCCTCAACATCTTGTTACTTCCCAGATACACCTATCCTTGTTGTGTAAACCTGCCTAAGACATTATACCTGATTGGTTGATTAAAAGGCCTAAAACCTGGGGAGGGCAGAATGGGGTAGGTGTGACTAAGGTTCCTGGGCTTTGGGAACAGAAGAATCATGGGAAAAGGACAGACAGTCAGATGGGAAGAGAGGAAGAAGGACACTACGATGGGTTAGCTTGGAGAAGCAACCACATGGGCCAGGAAGACCTAAGCATTATCACCAGTACCTATGTAAAAATGCTAGGTGAAGTGATACGCAGCTGTAATCACAGACTGGGACATCAGAGACAGAAGGATCCCTAGGAATCCTTGGCCAGATGGTCTAGCCTAATTACTAAGCTCCAGACAAATGAGAGACCCTGTCTCAGGAGATGGATGGCATCCCTGAATATGACACAAGAGACTGTCCACTGTCCTCCACATGCACGCACACACACAGATCCATCCACAAATAAATATGTACAAATACACATGTGAATTAAAAAAACAAATATGCCAAATCAATGCTCATACAAGATGTTATTATTAATGTCTTGTCATACCTGTTGTCCTAGAGAAAGACAGATGTAGTAATAATCTCCTCTGCAAAGATTAGGGTGGCAAAATTGCTGAAGTACTCTGGGTATCATCTGGAAAACACTAATTGTGTCCCTTGAAAAACAGAAACACAAGGTCACAGAACTATTGAAACAGGCAATGAGCAATGTGTTAGCCAACGTGTAAAGGAAGAATATCTTTAGTTGCTGACTAAATACAAGACAACCAGTTCTGTTACCATACTACAGAACCTTCATAGATGGAACCACATTAAGGTTGCAGTCAAATACTATAAGGTACCACTTATTTACTTTCAGATTTAACAATACACAATCATGGCCCGTCACACAGAAAAGCCTGGGGAATAACCACTCAAACTTTATTTCCTATTTTTTTTTTTTTAACTGTTAACACTTTTGTTTTGTGGAGGCAGGGGCATACACACCACAGTACTCATGCAGAAGTCAGAGGACAAAGCAGTTCTGTCCTTCCACTGTGAGTCCGTTGGATTGAACTTCTAGTTCATCAACTCTGACAGCAGGTTGATCTGCTGCCTTGATCTGCTGAGTCATCTTTCCTATCCTATTTTTAAGTTTTATTTACCCAGATTTAACTCTGAGGTCCTATTTAAACTTTCTTTGACCAAATTACCTTTTTTTTTTTCCTTTTTTCTTTTCTTTTCAGACAGTAGATGGTGGTTTCATTATGAAGCCCAGGACGGCCTCAAACTTGCAATCCTTCTGCCTTAGCTCCCAAATGCTGAACATGCTATTGTGTGCCACCAAGGCCAGCTTACACTATTATTATTAGGTTCTATATATCAAGGTATCTTAGTTATGGTTATTATTGCTGTGATGAATCACCATGACAAAGTGACCTGGGGGAAAAGGGCTTATTTGGCTTTGACTTCCAAATGACTATTCATCACTGAAGGATGTCAGGACAGGAGCTCAAACAGGGAGGTACTCAAAACCGGGAGGCAGAAGCTGATACAGAGGCCGTGGAGGAATGCTGCTTGCTGACTTGCTTCTTCCGGCTTGCTTAGCCTGCTTTCTTACAGACTCCAGGACCAACAGCCCAGGGATGGAACCACACTAATGAGCAGAGCCCACCCACATCAATCTCTAATTAAGAAAATGTCCTACAGGCTTGCCTACAGCCGAATGTAATAAAGGCATTTTCTTAACTGAGTTTCCCTCCTCTTAGATGACCTTAGCTTGTGCCAAACTGAGATAAAACTAGCACAGAAGGCAATTTGTTTGAACTTTTAAAGACTTCCTATTTTTATATGTGTGGGTGTTTTGCCTGCATGTATATCTGTATCAAATGAACTTAGTGCCTGTAAAAGCCAGTGAGGTCATCAGATCCCCTGGAACTAGAGTTATCGATGGTGAAGTGATACAGAAAAAGAACTTGAAGTAATAGTATAAATATAACAAAAGATTTACTGATAGACTTTGCTTAAGAGGCATTAAGGTCATACAAAAAAGAAATTTAGCTGAGGGAGCCCTGCCTCCAAAATATCCCAAAGATAAGTATTATTCTAATGAGGACTGTTAGAAATTTTAAAATTTAGGATATGAGGACTTAAGTTCACCAGGACTGACCAGCCTTAGGTTTCATTCCTGCTGGAGATCAGCCCCAGCAGTTGACAAGGTTCCTGAGAGGAGTTAAGGAGTCAGCATGGGAGGAATGAGTCAGGCTCAGTGGTCAGAGGAATCTTACAGCTCTGACTAACTAGCAATTAGGTTGCTAGTTATTTATTTATACAATAAATAACTTTATTTATAAATAGCTTCTTTATTTATACAAACTTCACAGAACAATGATTATCCAAGAAGTGCAGATTATATCACTTAGTCTCCAGACAGGTGTTTGATCTTTCATTACATGTCTGACAGTTACAAATGCAGTCATAACTAAAAAATACAAAGAGAACAGATATCATTTGTATTATTAGCCCTAGAACTCCAATTCAAAGAATCTAAAGAATGTCTCTGCCAAAGCAAATACATTTATTTTATGACAGACTGATTTTAGACTGGCAGTATTTACACTTTTAAAGTGCTCCAGACAAACAAAAACTATCTAAACCAGTCTTTTTATGAATAGTAAATACCAATGCCTAACTCTTTTACTTATATCATTTCATTATCTATGCTATTGAGTAGGAAAAGTTACTTTAGTCTGTTGGAGACAAGCCCTAAGAAACTTCTGACCTTTTCTCATTCCCCCCACCCTGCTGCACCTGGTTGACCAACATCCTGCTTGACAGTTGCAGAAAGGTGCTAACTGTACCATGACTTCCGGAGATAACATGTGGATACTTGGAACCAAACCCGGGTCCTCTGGAAGAACACCAGTGAGTGCCTAACCACTGAGTCACCACTCTAGCACCTATCAAGTCAATTTGTAAATGACAAAAACTGACTTTATAACCCCAGATGCTGAGGCAAGAGAGGACAGTGAGTTCAAGGCCAGCGTGAACAAAACAGAAAAACCCCATCTTCCATATATTAAAAAAGAAAAAAATCAATTTTATTCTTATTTGTTATTATGCTGAGCATGTATGTGAAGCACATTAGGGCAATACTTACTGTGCCTACTACAAAATTCAAGCAAGTCCACAGTTAAGAGTGAGGCATACCAATTTTCCCACTTCAACTCTTTAAGGTTATAGAGACCCATCTTTAAATTAGATAGGATGAGCCAGGCATGAAGGCATGTGTCTTTAATCCCCACTCTCATGAAGTAGAGGCAGGTGGATCTGTGAGTTTGCAGTCAACTTGGTCCATATAGTAAGTTGCAAGACAGCCAAGAAGAAACCCTGTCTCAAAAAGGAAAAACAAAAAACAAAAATTAATAGGATCTCGGGTATAAATGTGAGTCTTAGAATTAATGAATTTCATGAATTCTGTCAATTCATGGTTACTTTTAATACATGTCACTGACAGCTCCAAACCCAATCAGGGCCCTTTTCATCCTTTTCCCTCCTGATAAAGGGGTTTCTTTACTATGTGGCCCACACTAGGAAGTAGTGACCCCAGACCTCAACCTTCTGAATTCCTTTTTTTTTTTTTTTGGAGGGGGGGTGATTCAAGACAGGGTTTCTCTGTGTAGGCTTGTCTGTCCTGGACTCACACTGTGGACAAGGCTGGGTTCAAACTCACAGAGATCCACCTGTCTCTGCTCCTTCCTCTGCCTCCCAGAGTGCTGGGATTACAGGCACACACCACCACACCCAACTCTAAATTCCTTTCATTACACATGGACTTAATATGTAAATTTTCCATTTAGAATGAGATTATATTATATAACTTTTATTTCTCATATGTATAATTAATCATATATGTCTTACATTATGTATAATAAAATATTCTTATATACAACATATTCAATTATCCCGTATTTTCAACTCTAGTATCTTAGGATCTGATATTGTAGTAACTAAGAGCCTGGAGTACACCTCAGAGGTAGAGCACTTGCCCGGCATGTTCAACGACCTGGGTTTCATATCCAGCACTAAAAAAAGTAAGGAAGAAAAAAGATCTATGGCTTTCATTATCTTCATTCAATCTGTCCTGTGCACTGTATTTAAAGTTCCTTTGTATTCTCAAACACCTAGAAGCCAACAGGAGTCTAGTCTCTTCTCTCATTTTGTTTTGTTTTGTTTTGTTTTGTGAGCCACCATGTGGTTGCTGGGAATTGAACTCAGGACCTTTGGCAGAACAGCCAGTGCTCTTAACCTCTGAGCCATCTCTCCAGCCTTTCTAGGCTTTTAACTACCATCTAAGTATCCAGTTTCTCATTCTTGCTGATAAGGCAAAATAAGGAAGGAAACGGGCCTGGTGCCTCTAAGTAACCTCTCACTGGGATCCCCTGCCTTCAGAATAATCAGACCACAACCCTATTCCTTTTTAAAATGTACTATTACAAGGGTACAGTTGAATAGGAAAAAAAATCCTAATATTCTACAACACTGAAGGGAAACTGTGTTTTACAACCAGTAATCAAAGATTCCAAAACAACTTCTAATGGAAAAACGACTCAACAATTAAAAGTACTTGCTGTCCTTGCATAACTGAGGTTCGAGTCTCAGCATTCACATGGTGGCTCACAACTACTCTTCTGACTTCGAAACCTGCATATACATGGTGCATATACTTACACCAGACCAAACACTCATATACAAAACATAGAAATAGATAAAAATCCTTAAAAACAAAGACAGCTAAAAGAAAAAAAAAGAAAAGACAGCTAAAAAAAAAAAAAAAAAAAAAAAGAAAAGATTTCAATGTTCCTAACACAAAGAAACAAGTCTGAGGTTGTAGAAAAGTCAATTATCTTCATCTGGCCATTACATGTACAAATGGTACGAAAATACTATACCATACACCAAAATACACAATTCCTATATATCAAGAAAAAAATAATAAATATAATCAGTTAATAAATATTATAAATAAATAACAATGGCTTGTATCTCTTAGTAGTAACAATTCTTTCTTTCTCCTTGATATTTAACTAACCTGACAAGCTCCTAAATGGCCTACATATGCCCCCATTCTACCTAGACACAATCAACCTGAAAGGGGTTAAAATATACACCAAGAGCAGAGCTCAGTGGCACACATCTGTAATCCCAGCACTCAGGGGGGCAAAGGCAGGCAGATCTCTGTGAGTTCGAGGCCAGCCTGGTGTACAAAATGAGTCCATGATAGCCAAGGCTACAAAGAAAAAAACTTATCTTGAAAAAATACACGCACACATACATACACACACACATGCACAAAGAAGAACAAGAGTGTTTTCATTTGAATCCTAATATGGTACTATTTTATGTGCCAGGTCTTATACATCACCACTTGACTCAGATAACTTAGTGACTTTAAATTAAGGGGACAGAAAAATAAATAAAAAATAAAAATAAAAAAATAAAAATTAAGGGAACAGGGATGTATTTAAATTTTAACTCTTGCTAAAACATAACATTTAACAAAAATGTATGAGTTTAGTCAATTGTGCTTGCAGATTATGGCCATACCTGGGGAATCCCTCTAAATTTAAACATGCCCCTAAAATCTCAATCAAATGAATAAATACAGAAGAAACAGTAGACAAACTTTACTTGAATTTTATCCTTCTTAGATTTTCAATAGTCATAGCCATCATTGTAGAAAAGCATTCCATATTGGCCATAAACCTTCTAACGTAAGAGACAGTAAAATAAAATCAAAGATGTTCCCACTTCTTGACTTGATAAAACGGTAGCACAGATACCCAGTTAAAACACCTAATACATTTTCCAGGCTACCTAACAGAAATGACATCACACACTACTGTTGCAAGCAAGGGCTCAAGAAGATACATCTTCTTCAGGAACACAACCATAACATTACAATGGAGGGTTAATGAATTAAAATAAAGGGTCTCTGAGGAGCTGAGAAACTCCTCAGACTACTGATTAAGAACACCTGTCTGAAAAGAAAGTCAACAATGATGAGAAAATCTGCAGTCAGGAGCCAGGATAAACCTTACAAAAAAAGTTAACATATGATAAAAAACTACTTGCTCGTCTCAGCCTAACACTACAAAGAACAAACACAAAGATAAAAATGTCCATCTTTCCTCTGCCCTCTAAAATCCGAAGCCCAAAGCCCCTCACACTCTCCACTTCCACAGTAAAGGAGCATCTGCTTCTGTTGAGGTCAGTATCCTTTCTTTTATTTTCATACTGCCCCCATCACTCTTGACCTAACAATAACAAATCTCTCCAAAGAGATTCAGGTGACACACTGAAAAAGATAGTCCCAACACCTACTTATATTTTGGAAGGAGGGAGAAGTCACTATCTCTCACTCCATTCAGGTTCAGCATCACTAACTCCAACACCTAGTCCCATTCAAAGACAGGAAAAAAAAAAAAAAAACCTGCCCTTAACTTTGAGTTTTCATCAATTTGCAGTCACATATTCATTTCCTTGGTTAAATATTAAACTTCTCCAATTGCAAAAAGCTCCCTAAGAATATCTACAGGTTGAATTTTGTTGCTTTGCCATAACCAACTATTCATATATCCAAGAAATGAACATTTAAATGTATCAAGAGGCTACAAATGTACATCAGTGGAACAGCATTTGCCTCACATATGCAAAGATTATGAGTCCAAACCCTTGTGCTACAAAATAAATATGGTATCACAATACATAGCTTCCTGAAAGAATGAGTGACTGTTTCAAAAAGATACAACAGAATAACTGTAAGTATTGCTCTAAGCACAAGGAGACTTAAGGACATAATATAGCATTTTACAATGCTATAAACCATCAAATAGTGCTAGAGAGATGGCTCAGAGGCTCTTTCAAAGGAGTAGGCTTACAACCACCCCAGCTCCAGGGGATCCCTCTTCTGGCCTCTTCAAGCACCCATGCACCCTTGCTCATACAGGCACACAGACAAAAACACATAAACAAACATTAAAATAAGTCTTGGGGGGTGGGGGGAAACACCTTTGATGGAGCATTAGAGCCAAGAACAACCAAAATTCTATTTTTGAACAATGGGGAAAATAAATTTTTTCACAAAAGGTGTAGAGGTGTTTTGTTTTTTTTTTCTGGGGGGGGGGGGTTTAAGTAATTTATTTACTTTTATTTTGTGTGCATTAGTGTAAAGATGTCAGATCCCTGGACTTACAGACAGTTATGAGCTGCCATGTGTGTGCTGGGAATTGAAACAAGAGTGCTCTGGAAGAGCAGAGAGCGCTCTTGTTAATGACATCTTCAATATCTTATTTTTTTATTCATGTGTTTTATGTGCATGAGTGTTTTGGTTGCATGTATGCCTATGTAGCGTGTGTATGCCCGATGCCCATGGAGGTCAAAAAAGGGATCAGATCCCGTGGGACTGGAATTACTGATGGCTGTGAGCTACCAAATGGGTACTGGGAATTGAACCTAAGTCCTCTGTAAGAGCAGCTCTTAACCACTGAGCCATCTCCCCAGTCCCTAATTTCTTTATTTTAGGGTGCACTGCCCAACACTTGAAACTCAATTACCAAAACTACAATTTTCAGACTATTTCCTTTAAAAGTAGAAAACTGAAGTTTAAAAAAAGGGGCAGAGGGATCCTATTTACATCAAAGTTTCTATAAGGCTAATTAGAACTTAATGACTTGTAGATTCAGAGCCAAAATTATCTGGAACTATATTTAGTCTCAACAACCATTTAATGCCCCCTGACATCATTTCAACTGTCAGGTAAAACCTTTGTTCTGTATCCTCTGCAGAACACTAGCTCCACCACCAGGCCAAAGGCCTGTAGCAGCTTTTCACCTGCTTGGCTACAGCCCCTCTACCTGAGGTTCCCACCAAGGATTTGAAATTGCCTTGATTTATGACTTTTGGTCTGGAACTATAAAAAGTTCATGTTGCCAGGAATAGTCACCTATGCCTTTAAATCCTAGGGCTGAGAAGTCAGAGCCAGCCAAACTCTGTTCCAGGCCAGCCTGGTCTACTCTGAGAGTTCCAGGCCAGCCAGGGCTGCACCGTGTCACTCCTGTCATGTAGTCTGGCTGGCAGAAAAATAAATGAAAAGAAAAAGAAATCATGTAATCACTTCCACACTGGAACATATAATTTGGGGCAACATATAGTCATTATTTGGTTCAGGAACAATTCTTCTTTCCTTTGAGGTGAGAGGGTTTCTTTGTTTTGTTTTATTCTGCAGGCCCTTGTGTTGAATCCCCGTAGGGAGGACCTAACAAATTCGAATGGACAGAATAACTTTTTTTAAAAACCGGGATTAAAGGTATTTCATTTTTTTGTTTTTTCTTTTTTATTGATTTATTATTTATTACAATTTATCCACCTTGTATCCAAGCTGTAGCACCCCTCATCTCCCCCATGCCCCTCCCCTGGTCCGCTGATAGGGGAGGTCCTCCTCCCCTACTAACTGACTCTAGCCTATCAGGTCTCATCAGAACTGGCTGCATCCTCTTCCTCTGTGGCCGGACAAAATAACTTAGTACTTTTTTTTTTTTTCCGGTATACTCCAGTTTACACGCACACGGTCAACTACAAAGGCGGCCTCTTACCCAAATGTAACTGTTGGAATACTAAGTGGCAACGCCGCCCTCTCAGCAGCTTTCACCCCTCGCTCTCCTGAAGGCGCCGGAACCGCCAGTTCCTGAGGTCGCACAACGGACGCCCAGCCGTGCAGCGGAGGTGGGGGTCTGCAGGGCCGCAGGAAGCGCCGCCGCCAGGGCCGGACCCGCCTCCCTCAGCGGTGCGCGGGCACCGCCTCTGAGGAGCCAGGGAACTCCAAACGCCGCAGCCCGCGCCGGAAGAGACGTGCGGTGGTGCTGACGTCACTTCCGCTTCCGGCCTGGAGCCGGATCCGTTAGGGCTCCTGGTCTAGTGGTTTGGAAGACTGTCAGGGAATTAGTTACATGGTATCAACAACGTCTTCTCCAGGTTGACAACCACAGAAGCGGAAAAAGCACTCCCCAGCCCAGCGCTGGGGCCTGAGAGACCGTGGAGGTCGGCCAATGTCACTTCCGCTTTCGACTCCAGTTTCCTCCGGCCTCGGGTGCTTCACTACACCCTGGGTTTCCGCCCCTGGGGGCAGGGAAGTAACAGTTTTCTGCTCCTAGAGCGGCCTTGCCACAAGCCTTGTTAAGGCTACAACCAGACTAACGGAAGGAGTCATGTATGGACCCCGGGCTGTGTGGACCCAGGACAGACCGGGCAGAGCACGCGTGTTACTACAGTGTTGCCCTTGTCAGAAGTGTGTGAGTCCCTATGTACCCGCTTAGTCATCCAGGTACTTATGTCTCTAGTCACAGAATTAGACGAAAGCACGTGCTTAGAAGTAAAGACAGCTTATTACGAAAAGGAGAGTAGGGTGAATGAGATGACGGCGGGGGTGGGGTGAAAAAGCTTGCCTCCAAGCCTGACGACTGCAGAACCGACTCCCACAAGTTGTCCTCTGACCTTCACACGTTCACCTGCACTCTCACACGCATTATACAAAATAATAATAACCAGAAGAAATTTGGGGCCAGGCATTGTGGCCCACAGCTTTAGTTCCGGCGCTGGAGGGGGCGGGGTGCTGGAAAGGTGAGGCAAAAGTAGCCAGAGTCCATTCCAGCCCGGTCTACATAGTTTAAAACTAGTCAGGGCTATACAGCGACACCTTATGCTAATAGGGAGCACTGGAGGAAAATGGGAGTGGTCTAGAAAGCAAAGAGCCTAGAAAAAAAGGAATCTTCCAAAACAATAAACCAAGAGCATTATGACCCTTTATACAACATTTATATAGTACCTGCCTCTCCCAAGTATGTGAGGGCTTCTCTCGAGTATGCTCCATTTGTTATATAAAGCCTAGTGAGAACGTGTTTTTCTGCCATCTGGCTACCATATTGGTATGGCTTCTTGCAAGTCTCTCCTGTCACAACACCCTTCTAGAGCCTATTTTCTAGAGCACTATTAAGGCAGAATAGAAGAATGAATATTTGGGGAGGCATGAGAAGAGGAAAAGCCTAAAAAAGTAGATCTGCCTTGTCTTACCAGCTGATGGACTCAGAAAAATTAAGGTACCCTGTAGACTGTGCAAGGGTGGAGGCCTCCTATTACTGTGTCTTTGCTAGATGGTTCTGTTGTCTTCTAAAGATTAATACCTAGGTATTGGTGATGATGCTCTCAGCCTTGGCCTCTCCTTTTTTTATTTATTTTTTCCTGGGCAGTGGTTAATACAGAGACTTAATAACTGGTCAAAGTGCTGAGATTAAATGACTTATCAGTTCTCAGCCTTAAATAAAAAGTATCATTTTTTCCAAGGCCCAGAAAACATCAAGGAAGAGGGGGCTGAAAGAGTATAAGCTAGAGGATGGAAAGGAGTGCTGTGAGCACTATGTTCTGAACATGACTTGTGCACTCATGAGCTCCTAAGAGCAGTGGCTGGTCCCATCAGTTTTTCATCTTGGATGAGTGAGGCACTTTTTGTGTAGTAGTTTCCTGCAAGATGAAAACTTTCTGTCTTTGAGGAAATCTGGTAAAACACAGGATGTTAAAGGGAGGTTTAAAAAAAAAAAAACAGGCTCAAGAAGTAAACAACTCAGTTCTATCAGGAAGTTCCTAAAATAGAAGAGATTCACTAGTTCCCTCCTTTTCCAAGCACATGTTAGCAGTATGGACTGCTGAGAAATTCTGTAAAGCAAACTGGGCTGCCTAGAAGAAACAGCTGAATAGCCTGGAAGAAACAGATTAGCCATGCTACCTGGAAGAGATTTAGACTGTCCTACCTAGAAAGCACACTCTACAGACTGCTGAGCTGCCTGCAGGCTGTGCACTGTGATCCAGGGTCCCAGCCTTGTGAGCTGTCACCCATGCTCGGTTAGGCTTCAGTGATACTTGGACTTATTTCTACTCCTGTAAGTATACCTTCACCCATATTCCTTTAAATGACCCCAGTAAAACTCATTTGTTAAGCAAATTGTACTTTGTTGGTATCCATATTTTGTTGTGTCATCAGTTCTCTATCTGATATGAATAGATGTTTCTTTATGTCTCCTCATGAAAAGTGTCACACAACAAGGGCTTGTGAGACCCACAACTCTCCCTGAAGAACTATACGCTATGGTTGTTAAAGGTTGCTAGAGGAGAGGGAATCATAATATTCGGTGATATAGTTGCAAGGAAATTACCCTTGCTCAAGTAAATAACTATGTATTTTCATACATAGTTATTATTTTCATGTGTTTTCTGTTGCAAAGGGATCTTGGCAGTTAGGAGCCAGGGAATACCAGAAAGTAACACCACATAACAAGCTTCACACGAGAGATTTATTGGGGAGAAACACAGAGTGGTGGCTGCCTCTGGCTGGAAACAGAAATAGCAGGACACCAGGTAGAAGGGAAAGCTTTTATAGGGTCTTTGTAGCATGTGTTGTAAGCTAGTGGAAAAGTACATCATGGTTGGAACTATTGCTTGGCCATTAACACTGAGACATAGGAGTGGTATTTCTAAGTCCTAGGATCAAGGATGGATCAAAAGAAGGACGATTTTCCATTGGCCTGTTTACCCTGTATTCCTCCCTTTTTGTTTATCATTGATAACTAATTAGGAGCCTGGAAAGTGGGTAGCATTATTGTTAGACTATTTCCTGCTGTATGGGATTTTCAGCTTCTTGGAGCCAGCTTGATCTTTACCATTAGGACTTAATCAGGGATTGTAGGCCTGTGATTCCATAGTTAGGGGCTGATAATCTTGTAATAACAACTGATTAAAGGTCTAGTTAGAAATCTTTTGAATTTGTTGCTGAAGAAATCTTAAGTTTATAAGAAAGAAGGAAAAGGGGAGTTAAGAAAGGCAGTATCCAGGGAGTCCAAGATGGCAGCGACCAGTGAGCACCTATGTGAGGCACACAAGATCTGAACCTCTGAACCTCGTGAGTGAAGGTGCAGTTGAAGCCAGAACATCAACATTGAGGCTTCCTGGTCAAGAGGGGACAACCCATGAACTGAGACAGTTTGGATCCAGGTCACCAGTGGCCATCTCCGGGGTCTGAGTGGTGAATATTCAACCCTCCTGCACTTCCCTTTGCCCAAAGCATGGGTCTCCCTGCTCGGCAGAGGCTGCAGTGGTGGCCCCAAGCACAATCCTCATGCTCAGTAACTGAGACAGAAGAAGCAGCTGTAATATGGGCCTCCCAGGTCGGCAGCTGCTGGCAGGTGGCTATATGGGCTTCCCAGGTCTGTGGCTGAGGCTAGCCCAAGCAGGAGCCTCCGGTGCTCTGTGACTGAGAAGTCAGAGGCAGCTGTCCCAAGTACAGGTCTCCCTGCCCGGTGAGCAAACAGTGGACACCAGTGAGCTGACGGATCTCCTACACTCTCATTTGCCCCTATGGGCCCAAACCTGAGAGTAGAGAACAGAACAGGGGGAACCCTGTGCTCTCCAATTAGGCCTGTGCATAAGTGAGGGTACCTTCAAATGAGTGTGTGCAGAGCACCAGATCCAGGTCCAGATACACTGGCAACCAGACATTGGATCTTTCCCACCCATACCCCTACTGTGGGCAATGTAGGGATCCTTGGTACAGTGTTCTTAACATTGAAGGCCCAGTACTATGGGTCTACCAGTGGAGTCCAGGCAAACAATTCCTGGAACCCAGGCAGATCTGAATACCAGGAGGACAATATGACAGGCATGTAAGCCAGTGAGGTGTTCAGGGCACCTGTGCATGCACATTGCACCAGGAAACAGCACCAGTACCACTCCTGCACTTAAACTACACCCTTCCAGCCATCTACATGCTGTAGCACCCTGCCCCTCAAGGAAGGCACACTTCCATGCACACACCAGTTCTTGTACACATGCACCTGCAACCTTCCTCCCTTAGCTACAGCTGAAACACCAACACCCACTCTCAAACCTGTGGATCTCTCTCATCATTCTGAAAAATACTACAGACACCAGAGACAGACAGACCCAATCTAAAGTACAGACTCCAGGAACAAACAGTGAAAGTCAAGGATAAGCAGCTGGCTAGAGGTTGGTTTAAGAACACATCCAACAAAAATCAGGACCTCATGGCTTCACCAGCAACCCCAAAAATCAATGGATGTATTAATTCATTGGAAACAGAGGAAAATTATTTTAAAGCTATGCTTATCAAGTTATTAGAGGCATATAAGGAGGAAATGAACAAAACTCAAAGAAATAGCAACACAAATAGAGGCAAATAAAGGGAAATTTAAAAAGCTCTGAAAGAAATACAGGCAAATATTGCCACAGAAATAGAGGCACATGAATAGGAAATGAATAAAAAAAGAGGCCATCAGGAAAAACAGGAATCCACATTCAAATAGATGAAGGAAATGGTGCAAGACATGAAAACAATTAAAATCAATAAAGAAAACACTGGAGCTGGAGAACTTAGAGAAAAGGTCAGGAACTACAAAGGTAAGCATCACCAACAGAATGCAAGAGATGGAAGAGAGAATCTCAGGCGCTGAAGATACAGTTACAGAAATTGATACATCTCTCAAGAAATAGTAAAACCAGAAAAGTCCCAAACACAAAACATCCAAGATATCAAGGATGCCATGAAGACTAAATCTAAGAATAATAGTAATAGATGAAAAAGAAGGTTCTGTAAAGAAATATGGAAAGGTATAGTCAGTTTGTGGCCTTCAGAAAGGAAATTATTAAATCACTGAAAGAAATAAAAGAAACAGAGGAATGTTCAAACAAACAGGTGAAGTAATTGAAGGAAAGTACAGTCAGACAGGTGAAGGAAATCAACAAAACGGTTCAGGCTCTGAAGATAGAATTGAAA